TGCAGATCCTACGCGGGATCAATCAACACAAAATACATACATGTTTACAAACATACTCATGCATTTATCATATTTCATTGCATACATTCATTATGCATTTACAACACATATATCACAATGCATATATGTATATTCCTCATTCAATTCACACCATTTCATACATGGTTTCCATTCACAATCAATCTCCTCATGCATTTCTATTCAATTCATGCAAATGCACAAAATTGCCAAATGACCATATTTTACACTCGAATCATACACTAGGATTCACGCCTTACGGCTACCCACAACACAAAATATCACAACCACACCCAAATCATCCAATTAGATAAGTATTAAGGTAACCGAAACAACCATCAGCATTAGAAATGGAAAACACAGGAGCTAGAAAAAATGTTGTCACGTTCGCCAACCTTCGCCTGGCGAAGCTTTTGGCGAATGCTCGCTACGACCTTCGCCTGGCGAACTCGCCAGCGAAGACAAACAAAAGCTACTGGAAGTGCTCTCTACCACTTGCTGGATTCATTCGTCTGGCGAACCCTCGCCACTAGCCTTCTCCTGGCGAACTTGCCAGCGAAGACTGAATTTGGCTACTGACTTGGTTCGCTAACCATTCGTTAGGCTTCGCCTGGCGAGCCTGCGAACTCAGAAATCCCTCACTGCTCAAAACTTCAAAAACTCACTGAATCCAACCGATTCTATTCCAACTTGTCTCAGTAGCACAACCCAACATCTCTCGACTAAATCCTTACCACTTACTCTCATTTCAACCGTTAAAAACTCATTTCTACCGATTAAACTCGAATTTGACCTAGAAATGGAAAGTGTAGGAAAGCTACCAACAATTAACACAACACATACATGATCATACATATGGATAGAATAATAAAGTTTAACACCCTTACCCGATTAATCGAAGCTTAGCAGTTGATTTCTTGATGATTCTAGGTTTTCTCTTCTTCCTCCCTTTTCTCTTCTCTTTTCTTCTTTCTTTTTCTTTTCTTTCTCCTTTCTTTCTATCCTCTTATTTTCCTTTCTATTTCTTCTTATATTTTTCTCACAATTCTAATTCTACCAAAAGACTAAAATACCCTCCAATTTAAATTTTACCCGAAACTCTCCAAAACGGTAAAATATTAAAACATACTATATTAACACATGGAATTCACAATTAAAACAATTATACTCAAATCAAATAAAACACTCAACAAAAGGAAATAATCGAAATCGGGGCGTTACACGTTAGGACTAATAAACCTATTTTAAAGAAATATAGTTTCCAGACAGTTGAAAATTATTTTAATTTGGAATTTCTAATAAAAAGAGGTTCTTACGAACCAGACTTCAAATCCATAAACGCGTCCGAAAACAGTTTTAAAATCGGTTTTCTTAAACATTAAAGATTCCTAATTGACTGAGCCAAGCGCTTTCGCTTCCATGGAGCAGTCAAGACTAACCAAATTTATCTAAAGATTGGACGACTTTCGATCTTACCCAACAGATTTTAAGTGCAGAAAATAAGTGTTAAAAGTTAAAATAACCCTTAACTAATTCTATCGACAATCATTTGGAATACTAATTATAACTACAATCCTCGCATCCTAGCGTTTTAGATTTAGCCGGACATGGTAAATAAATACGAGAGAGTAAAGTGCGGGTAAATAAATAAAGTGCGATAAATGTGCGAGAAAATAAAAGGAAGATAAATAAAAGCAGTAAATAAACAGAAACCTGCTCAAACAAGAGGCTTTAAAATCTTGTACAACTGGAAGTAAAATGCTGAAATAAAATGGCGGCAGGTTTAACTTCTATCCAAGTGCTCCAAACTCGATTACAGACTCGATTAGACAATGTAATAACCCTCGATGTGAGAAGTTTATTACTTTACAACAAGTGAAATTTATGGCTTGAGTTCTGTTCTCTAAGCTTGGATGAATTAAAATGAACAAGAACTCTTCTATTTATAGAGGTAGGAAAACACAGATAAAGACAGGAATGCCCCCTAACTCCTTTTGGGAGGGAAACTCCGTGTGAAGGTGGCGTCCCCCACATGAATTGGGGTGGAAAGTAGTGGGAGACGTGGAAGTTGTCAGCAATTGTCTTCTATCCCACTCATGGCATTTGCTATGGCGCCTGCCATGGTGGAAGCCATGTGTACAATTCCTCATAAATTAGGGTTTTAGCTCGTTTTTCTTCATTTCTTCTTGAGTGGCCTTGAAAATACAAAAACCTGAAAAAGAAACAAAACAGAGGCATAATACAATAAAACGGAAATAAAATACTAAATAACATGTACAAAATCGAGTCAAATAAATAGTATATTTTAGGCATATCAGTGTGGTAATTAAGTGCTAATTTTCATGTAATGCAATGTTAAGTTAAAGTCTTAACTAAATAAAATAATTCACTATAACATGAAATAACTTAAACAACCCAAAATATGTCATAGAGACAATAAATAATGAACAAACATATAAAATCTAAAACGGTCCACCATGGATAATGTGTGTTATTCCGGATAACTCGAAATAGACCTCACAGTCTAGGTTTATCAAACCCATAAAGTTATCAGAAAGAAATATTATCATCTATATATGTTGTTGATTAATCACAACAAAAGGAAGTAACAGAGACGCTATCGTGTCATCTAAATGTCATCCGTCATGCAAAGGTCCAGTATCATCTCCATGCTAAACAATTGGAATGATGTGAGAATGTGATACGCTAAAGTACCCTTATAAATAACCATCCATACAATGTCCAAGAAAAGACGCATCAACTACATTTTCTCTAATAGCACGAGCATTGCTCACAATGTTAGACCTAAACCATTTATCAATGCTCCTAGGTGATACAACTTGGACTAATCTAAGAATGCCCTTGATATAGCCAAACTAGCGTAGACACCTTTTAGGTGAATATGTAGTAAAACCACTCTCATTTCGCAAGTAACCCAAAAAAGTGCAATCTCATCGAACTCATGTGGCACTTTATGGTCTGTATACAATGTCCATATGACATCATCTAAGGTCAGAGCATCAATCCTCTACAAGCACTCCACAAGACCGACTATATGATAATGCATTGAGCTTCATCTAATGGCCTGTGGGGAGCCATATGTGATAGTACTTCAATCACGTTTGTTACAAATGGACGAAAAATGTTTGTATATCCATCATTGCAATAAAATATATAAGCAAACAACACATCACATAAAATAAATGTCTTTAATAAATACTCGCAAAATAAATAAAACATAATAAATATTTATACCTAAAATAGACTCAAATAGCCAACAAGTTGTCTCATCTTAAAGGTAGTCGCCTCTCTAACATAATTGTGTATTATCCTTACAACAACACAACCTTATATCCTATGGAGATATTCTAAGTCAGCAAATAAGGATATGTACCTCGCGTCGATGTATACAAAGATTTTTATGCTAAAATTTATTATCCAACAAGATGCAACATGTATACCCTAGCAATTACTTCATGCATATAATGCTCCACCAATGACTCATAAGTATCAATTAGCAAAAAGAGACCGAAATGAGGACCCCGATTAGCCTTTAACCTTTTCAATATCATCCTTATGTAACACCCAAATATGTCTCAGCAACCATAGTTGCAATCAGTTGATTCATCAACGAAGAGGCGAAGAAGTTACCAACAAGGGGGGATGGAAGAGACTGAAGACACAATCCAGAGTAATCTACATCTCAATAAAATGGAGATGAAATAAAGATGTCTCATTATGCCAACGCTCAACAAAAACTAATAAAATTGGAGCATCAACAATGGTCAGCAAACAATCAACCAACAACAATTGCCCTAACCTTATTTGGCATCTGCAATGTGAACAATTTTCTTCAACTTTGACCAATGAGTCTGGGACTCTCAACGGAGTGCGGTCTTATATCAGATAAACCATAAATCAATTGCTATTTTCAATTAACCACTAATAAATAAAAACAACTTAAAATATTTATAACTCTGATTGTCATAATTTAAAGGCCACGTGATTGACGTACCCAGGGAGCACGGTAGGGTTAGAGGGCCCCCAAAGAACCCTCCACATGTATCAGCCTGAACATGAACCTCTGTTTCAGTCTAAACTAGCACCTCAGTATTACCCTGAACAATCACCTCTAGCTCATAATCATCAGTAATGACAACATCTTACTCATCATCATGATCTATAGACTGACCGACTCTACCTCCATTACGCTAGAGAATATGTGGTCCATGAGACTACTCGATCCTCCTATAATAAAAATTAAGAGTTCTATTTTGCCCGCACTTTGGTGTTTCAATGGACTACATTAGAACCATTGTTTTTTTTGTTTTTTTATTTTATTTTATTTTAAAAAATTCGAAACATATGGTTTTGATTGTGAAAAATTAAATTTTACGATTTAAAATTTTATGGTTATGTAGGGATTTCAGATTCAATTTCAGGTGAAAAGGGTATTGGTGATGTGAGTATGCTAGATTCATATTCAGGGGAAAGGGTGCAGATTCCTTTTGGAAGACACATACACACGTATAGGTTACTCGATCATGATCGTTGAAAGAGTCGGGAAGTGAACCGAAGGAGAACAAATATGAACCGAAGGGTGAAAGGGGTTAACTCACTCTATTTACCTAAATACTAAATACTTTAGACCTTAATCATGAAAGAATCATAGCAAAGGGCAAATTGCAAAGAACATGAATTACCCTACTCTTTTTCATAAAACAAAGTAGAGTCAACCAAAAGTTAGGAGGTTCGAATCAGAGTACTCATCTGAATAATCATCCACTTCCATCAAGTAACAAAGTTAAAAACACATGTAAATAAATTTTCTTGATATTCTATTGTCTACTTCAATATAAATTGCTTGTGACAAAACAAAATTCACCAACTGCATTTTAGGGTGCCTATGTACATTTCACTGGTTGTAGACACATGCCAATATTTGTTAGCACTAAGCATTTCAGTAATGAATCAGCAAAGTATCACTCTGCTTCAAGTGCTGCAATCTCATATCTCACTTCTTCAAGATGTTCATTGATGACCATTACAGCATCCTGTACACCTCTAATAGCTTCGTTGAGAGCATTATCAAACTCGGCATCTGCTTCTGCTTCTTCAGTCCCAGAAGCTTCAGTGATTTCCTTGACATGAACACACTCATGCTCTGTATGCTTTGTAAATTTGCAATTCTCATGGCTCACCAGTCGTTCAGATGGCCGACCAGCTTTCTTTAACAGCTGAATGGTAGCTGTCTTTAAAGTGAAGTGATAGTCAGCAAAAAAATACCAAACACTTGAATAGAGTTAAGTGCAGTGTAAAAGCATGAAGAGTTCAAAAACATTAAGCCAATTCAGAGCAAGAACAACAACTAACTGGTATATGGTCTTTTAGCTTTAGAAAAAGAGTTTTTCTTTGTATTATCAAAAATGACTTATGTTAAAAAACTGGCTCTGAAGCACTGATACGCTTGAATGGCCAACGATGTTCCAATAATACACAATTAAAAAAATCATAAACATACAAGGTAGCATTTTAAAGTTTGAACATTAGCATTGCACAGAGAAAAAAGAACACAATACAAGAAAGTAACTTCATGTGCATCAATACAAACAGGCGAAGTTTGTTTTTTAGTAAAAAGATATGTACTTAAACTAGAGGCATACCAGATGCAGTTTCTGCTTTTCCTGATCTTGAACACCTCTAAGGATTTGTGCTAGATCACTGCGGCTATAGTCAGGACTCTGAAACAGTGACTCCATTTCGAGGACCTATGCTAAATCAGAAAAGAAAATAAATGTTAAAGAAATGCGGTAAAATTAAACATTTTTTTATATATAAAAAGAAGAAGATAATGTTAGGATCATGTGTCAAACTTGTTTTGAGCAATCATTAAACTCTTTCGTGATTCCACTGCAAAGCTGCTGGTAAGCCAACTCCCCTCCAGAAGTCATGTAGTCAGAAAATCCACTGCCAATAGTCAAATTCCAATGTAATCAGGAAATATTTGGCAAGTAACATTGGTACACTATCAAAGAACATTTCTTTGTATTTTTGGATTTTAATTACATGATACGAAAAGTGTTGTCAATAGCATACTATAGCAACATGACATAGTAGATCTGCCTTTGGCCGCTATAGGACACACTAGCAGAGAAATTTAGAATAGCAGATAATGCAGCAGCCATAATAGCGCACTTCAGAATGAGGTAAAAATTCCAAAATGAAACCTCAAAATTCAAATGTCAGGGCTTTACGGTTGGGGTGTTTCAGGAATTTCAGAATTAAAATACACCATAACAGACAGCCACTAGGCTTCTCCTATCTCACAGTATCTCATTACTTCTATCACTTTTCACCAATACTCACATCCAGTTTTTGAGTTTTATGTATTATTATATTACACTATTGTCAAATATAGGTTATAGCGTTTGAACAAATTGTTATTATTCCACGATATGCTGCGCAGTACAACCAGTTGTCAAATAACCGTAAATGCAGCGGCCAAAATAGCGGCATCCACAACCACTATAATACTACTGTACCGCACCTCAAAATAAAATAAATAAATAAAAAGCCTTAAAAAAATCAAATGACGGCGTTTTCAGTTAGCGTGTTTCAGGAATTTAGCAAGTAAAATATACCATAACAAACAGTTAGCCTTCTCCTCTCTCACGCTGTCTGACTCCTATCATTTTCGCCAAAAGTCGCATCCAGTAGTTTAGTTTTTATGAATTATAGTACAATATTGTCGAATTACGGCTATAGCTTAGCATAATTGGAACAATTTGTTATTATTCATGATAGTCGGCTATAGCTTAGCATAATTAGAACAATTTGTTATTATTCATGATAGGCAATTTAATATAAACCTCTGTAGCTACAACACCTCTGAATAAAAGTGTGTCCGTGTCAGTGTCGGTGTCCAAAACAGTCACCGAAATCTGTGATTACATTAAATTTATTCATTTTTTTCAAATTATTACCGACCTCAACGTGTCAGTGTCGGTTTCGGACCATAAGAATCACTAATACAATTTTTGTTCTACAGTGATAAGCACAAACCCTATTTTCCGCCATCAACTATAGCAGTATAAAAACTTCAATATATAGTAGTTCTGTGATGTTTTCAATTTCGTTATTATTATTATTGTTATTATTTTTGCTTCATGCTTAAACATAGATCCTTGATCACTAGATTCACTACCATGAAGCCATAGGTTCCAAATCAAAGAACCTCACAGAAAATAGATATAATCACTATAAAGTAAAATCAATAATTAAAAAAAGTTGATTATTACTATGCAATTTCGCGAATCCAAACAAAACCTTGCATTTGAACAAACTAGTAACGAACGAACCTTTTAAGTTTGGAGTATGCTTGGGCTCTGCGTTGTTGTATATCGAGAAAATCGCGAAGCAGAAGAACGATTTTGGATGGATCAATCACTTCCATTGTGTCGCTTATCGAAACCTTCTTCCCAAAATCCAAATCTTCTTCCATCGATTCCATTTTTCACTTTTTCTTTCAGTTTGTTTCTTTTTTTTTTTATCAAAACGACATTTTTATGAGATTTAACTTGTGTCGTTTTTTGTGACGTAAACGACTTGGTTTGTGAATCGTATTAAGAGAAGTTTAGAACTATTAGGGAAACTACACCGTTTTAGAGCTTATTTCTAAATTAATTAGCGTATATTTTTCAGTTTTTTTTAAAGAGATTAATTATTATTCAGTGTCATCACAAATATATGTTGGTATTATTTTTTAAGTAATTAAAATAAAAATTAAATATTTTATATAAATTAGCGATTGTGTTAAGTGATTGTGTAAAAAATCTTTACATTATCCGTGCATATAAATTAAATTATTTTTTAAATTTTTATAATATTATACAATGTTAGTTTAGAAAATATACTGAATTTAGAAAAAAGAAACTTCAAATATTTTTTTTTTAAATAGTTGTTTTTAAAATATTATTTTATGTATTTTATTTTTTCAAATATTAAATTTTAAAAAGCTATTTATATTTTAAATTATTTTATTTAATTTTTCATAAAAAATATTTTGAATTTTTGAAATATCTATTTATCTAGATCTATAATTTTGACTATATTTTAACATTATTGAATGTATATTTATATTATAGAATATCAAAATTAATCTTTTAATTTACAAATATGATTTTAATTTTTTTTAATTTTAAAAAAATATTTTTATAAATAAAAAAATTATTTCTTAAAGATAAAACAAACAACTCCCGTCCTCTCATATTTCTTGATTTATTATAATAACATTTGAGCAACTTTTAAAAATATAAACTATGACATTAATGTCTTTCTTGCTTCCGAAATCATAAAATGTAGTATTTTATACGAATTAAAAAAGTATAAGTAAAAAATAAAATTAAGTATTCATAAAAATAATATTATTTTTCATTAATTATATGGAAGAGAATTTTAAAAAATAAAAGAGAAAATAATAAACAACAGAGGTATAGTTCCTAAAATATTATTAAAGTTGTATTAAAATTATAACATAATTCATAATTTAAGACAAATAGTTTTGATTAAGTGACTTATAATTTTAGATAATGGCTGTATTTATTTGATAAAGGATTAAAATTATTCTTGACAAAACATAAACGATTTTTTATAATAATTTAATAAAGTAAAATTGTTTACTAAATAGTGCAATTCTTTTGTTTAAAAAAGAACTTGATTTTGTATAAAAAAGAAAAATTATACGGAATTTCCATTAATGATATACTAGAAGAAGAAAAAAACTTAAAATATTAAAAATAAAAAAAGAGTGAGAATAATAAATAGTAAATAATGTAAAAGAAAAAAAAATCATTAGTATATTATTATTAATACAAAACTATTTAATTTGAAATTTATTTTTTAGAAAATATATAATTTAGTATGGATAGAGTATTTTGAAACAATATTTATTTTTTAATTTTTTACCAAACACATTTTCTTCCATATATTGGAAAATTAAGGTATGGAGTAGTTCAACTATAAATGAATTATACTAATTTCACAACTAAATATGGTTAAAGGTTCCAATTAGCAGTATTAAACTTCTCAACACTAAATAACACTTAATATGTGTGAGTTTCCTTTTACACTTTTTGAAATAAAAAATAAAAAAAATAAAAATAGAGAAATACATTATATATTGCAATAATTGATAAATGAATTTTTTTCATTTCAATGTGAAAAAGGTAAATATTCAAGGTTCACAGTACAGATAACGAAGCTTCAATTAGCTTCAGTTAACTAACTTCTGAGTAGAAAAATAACTTTCTTCTAAGTGTCTGTTTGGTTTGGCTTTTCAACCACCAAACGCACGTTCACGTGTCTTCCTGCCGTGATTTAGAGAAACTACAAAAGGTAGCTTTTGAGGAAACGTGAAAATTCACCGTGCTTTTGGCAATTGCACCGCATATCCAAACACACCATAAGTAGAAAAATAACTAACTTTCAGTATTCATCAATCTCGCAAGATGAAGCATCAGCTCAGATAACAAGCTATGAAGACCCGGAGTGCAGTTTTCACAAACCATATGACATTCAAATTGAATATGTTTGGTGTGCTTATGAAATCTTCGATTTTGAAAAACTTAAATTACAGACTTCTTGTTACAGTAGAGGCTCGAAATCCACTTATAATTAGAGCAAGGATACTGTAGTTTGCTTTTTTGACTTCCAGTATATGAGGGAGGAGCCCAAAAGAATGGATAAACCAGTCTTGGACATCTGGGTTCAGCGCATGTGGCTCGGTCTGAATCAGTGATGGCAGATAGCTTGAGGTCTGACTTAGAAGGAAAAAGTAGTCATTTTCCTTGGCAGCCTTTAATGTAATGCGGAGTCCGAGTCGCAGCATTATAATGCACTTGCATTAAATTGGAGCCAAACTATCTGAGAATAACCTGTATATAATGTTTGGATCCTGTCCAATAGGAGCATAATTTTAACTTCCGTAACCCTTAGTGTATCTATAATCCACTAGTATCCTCTGGTTTCGATCTGGCTGGCCACAAACAAAGCATCCGATGTCACTGAAGTGAATCAGAAAGACATTAATACCAAATTAGCAGAGAGTTTTAACAATAGGATCCATTTTGGCAATAAAATATAAATATGAAAGAGAGAAGATTCTATGGTGCAAAATTGGATGAGTACCCATAATTGTATTATAGGTCATTCTTGTTCCGTATGCCTTGAGGATTCTGATATGAGGCAGCATGTTCAAAATGGAAGCAAAGTAAAAGCCGAATGATATAAAAATGGAAGGGATCTAGTCATGGAAAAGACAACTTGAAAATAAAAAAGATAAATATATAACTAATTCTGTAATATTTAAAGGTCTGACTTATTTTTTATTGAAGAACAAAAAGCAAAACCAGGCCAACTGAAAGGAATGAGCAATTTACACCTTTAATTACACCAAGTTGTGTCTGGAAATTGCTAATGACACAATAGGAGAAGAACCCAAATCATCAGAAAAATGCAACACCTTTTGATAATATGTAGTTTCTTTTTTTGAATATCAAAGCAAAAAAATTGGCACTCCAACAATTGTTTTTCTCATGGATTGGAGATTGGAAACTTAAACTATTAGGCAATATGATAGAACAAAAGAAAATAAGATTATTTTGGCACAAGGGAAGGATACAGAAGGCATTCAAATATTTTAGTACTTATGGTATACTAAGCAAGAATAAATTACTAGAGAAGGAGAAAAAAAACGCTATAAAAATATAATAGACAGGGCATAAATTGATAACTGACCTAAGCAATGGCCATTTCAGCTGAAATCAGTTATGGGCTTTGAGAAGGTAGAACTGCTTGATAGTCGACACCCTGCTTTAAGACGAAAGGAATTCTATAAGATTTATTAATATACTGATTGATCTATCATTTTAGCCCAGAATTTTAAAGAACAATATAGGAAGACATAGTTTAGATAGCAGATATTCAAAAGCATAAAAAAGGGAACTAACATTTAGCATACTGCACAAAAGATTATGTCAGACATAAAGCTTTGTGCATAATATTGGTCAACAGTCGTAACCCAAAAGAATCATAACATAAAACCATAACATTTAGCAAATACATTGATTTAATGCTGATCCCTTCCTGATTCTGCTCAGATAAACCTGGCTGCAGTGTTTTACAAAGCCATGACAAAGATATCATCATCATGTAGCAAATATCCTACTCCCAAATCATTGGTCGATAACTGAGTATTGTTAATTTCATATAGTATCTGGAAAATCATATGAGAAAGCGGATGAGAAAGGTCTCCTTGGTAAAATTTATGTTCTTTTCCTGCGATATTTATCCAGCTACAGCCAGGAATTTTAACCAAGCCTAAACCCTTCATCTTTGCTTTAACAGTTGAAACATCATGAGCCATACCACGAGATTGATAAATTCCACACAATGCTACATAGTTGCTAGTATTATTTGGCTCTAATTGAAAGAGACGATGTGCTGCAATTACTCCAATTTCGACATTCTTGTGCATGGCACAACCAGCAAGAAGAGCACCCCACATGCTTCCTGTCAATGACGAAGACTTCATTCTTTCCAACAACCGAAGGGCTTCCTCAAGATACCCACATCGGCTAAAAAGATCCACCATACAGGCATAATGCTCAGCAGTGGGCTCAAATTCATAATCTGAAATCATCGAGTCGAAAATTTTCTTGCCTTGATCCAACAAACCAGAGTGGCTACAACTAGCTAAAATAGCTGTGAGAGTGACAGCATTTGGTCTAAACCCCTCATTTATCATCTTCTCAAACAGAAAAACTGATTCCTCCCCCTTTCCATGCATCCCATAACAGGATATCATAGTCGTCCATGTCACCAAATTTGCACAGCTCACGGTCTTGAAGACATTTTCTGAATCCTTCAAGCTACCACATTTTCCATAATTATCAATCAATGCATTCCCAATGGGAGCATGAGCGTCAAAACCAAAGTTCCTAACAGTAAAGCCATGCACTTCCTTCACTTTCAACAAATCCCCTTCCTTCCCACAAGCACTCAAAATGCTAGGGAGCGTCATGTAATCCAACTCAATCCCATTTTGATGCTTCAACATTTCTCTGAAACAATGGACAGCATCAGAATACAAGCCAGCCTTTCCAAACCCAGAAATCATCAAATTCCATGTCACTGAGTCCCTGCAAAATATATTGTAAAACAAGTTATTCTATTTACATTGAGACAAATTACATAAACATGTGAAGAGAGACACTAAGTAGGGTAATCAAACAATGTCATCATTGTCCTGTCATATAAATTTAACCATTGAATTCACTAAACAGTACAGTCAAAATCATGCGCAGCAGTTGTCTACATGTTTGGGCGTGCAGCAAACATGCATCGAAGAACATTAGACACAAGGCCACAACAAGAAATTGTTGTTGCATCGTCGCCTCGTTTCAAATGTGTCCAGCATGTTCGCTACGTACACGAATACAACCTAAGGCTATT